GCGCCAGCCTAGGCCCAGAAACATCGAGACCCAAGGAAAGAGCAAGCTATCCGTGTTGATAAGTAGCCTGTAATGGTGTGAAAGGCGGTTAAAGTAGGAATGCCCAGCAGCACAGTGATGGTTAGTCAAAAGCTTGCCATAGTTTACAGCACTATCCTCCATCCAGCCTGAGGTGAAGCCATATCCCAATAAATTCATGAACTCAGCAAACTACCCTATGTTTTAAATATAGGCCGATAACTGATATTATGGGTGATTTATCGTTTTTGGGGGCCTTCTGATATGATAAGTTTGATTTTATATCGGTTATCGTTTTTGGATGTTTATCGGCGATAATGCAGCGATAAAGTGAGTTATCGTCCGATCTTGTCGGCTCAAAATATCGGAATTATCGGCTTTTGGTTTGGGTTTAGGTTTGCTCTTTGGATGTTTTAAGAATTATAAAGTATTTGTTGCTTTTGGAACTTGGTTGTTTGGTGATTAGCTTATATTTGTTTATGAATATTGACATGGCTCATAACTATTAAATCTCAACTTAGTAAGTTAGTTTATAATCTCGTGATTGCACAATAATTATGTTGATGATTCTTCATTCTTTATGTTATCTTGTTATGTGCTTGTATAATGTTATTCCATTTTTACTAACTATGCATTTAAATGGTTTCATTGTGCGATCAAGAAGCAAGTTTCTACCATTGGTTAGTGATCCTAAACATGATTGTGTACATTTCGGTATGTTTGTATTTCATTATGTATGGGTAGATCACATTTTAGGATATTATATTTTGTATATACATCATCCGGTAATATCACTCTGATAAATACTACTTATCCCCAATATTTCCCCCATATCCGTTGTCCAATATGTATTTTGATAGTCCGATAAATCCTCGATAACTGATATTTAAAACCTTGCTACCCTATGAAAAATGTGGAAAACAAATCCTGAACAAGGCTTAATTGCATATGTATTATGATAACTTGCTGGATAACTTTTGAGAAACCTTATTGAGTGGGTAGAAATGGGATCATCAAGACTCTGGTGTATGACAGCAGCTGAACTGAGTAATACTTTTAGTGGTCATATTTTCTTTCATATTCTCCAACTTACGAAGATATAATACATTTTCCATATTAGTTCTCCACATTTTACTTTTGAACTTGATCTTTCAACTTAGTGTTTTGAATAATGTGAAAAATTTTATAAAAAAATTATTTTAGCATGTATGGATCTGTTATGTGTAAAACGGCTGAAATCAAAGTTAGGCTGATTGGTTTCATCACATTTAGTGTATTTCTGAAATTAGTGCCAATGCATATGCATGGAGTTGCAATGCTGTGCATTCGTGTGCAATTACCTTGTCAAATTACACAGTTAAAATTTTAATAACAAATAGTGAGTATTGTGAATTAGGGTTTCATGAGTTGTGAATTTGGGTGTCATCGTTATGTGTGTGATGTATTGCATGGTTAATATTGTAAACTAAGGTTTATGGTGTCAGATCATCAGTTTGTTCACAGAATCATTAGTATGAATTATTTATTCCACTAAATTTAAAGTACATGTAATGCTGCACAATTCATTTGCAGGTAATGGGTTTGGTTGATATTTTCAGAGCAAAAATAGTCGATATTTCAGAAGATTCACTTACTATTGAGGTGAGAGCTGCTAAAACATATGGGTTTTCCTTCGGTATGATCTGTATATGTTGTATATCACTTTCTGAACCGTTCTATAAACATAAAGTATTAAATGGTTTAATGGCCAAGGATAGGTAACTGGTGATCCTGGGAAAATGGTTGCAGTTCTGAGGAATCTGAGCAAATTTGGAATCAAAGAAATTGCCAGAACTGGCAAGGTTATTGATATACGACCTGAAAACAAGTGTCGTTTTCTGTTTACTTTTATGCTCTGATTTTTCTGAGTTCTGTTATTTCATATAGATCGCTTTGAGACGCGAAAGAATGGGGGAGAAGGCCCCATTTTGGAGATTTTCTGCAGCGTCTTATCCTGACCTTGGAGGGGCAAAGGTTCAAAGCCCACTTTTCAGGACCACGGGTACGGGCTTCAATGGTGATTCGGAACTATCTTCTGGAGTATGTATCTGCTACCATTTACAATTCCATTTTCGAAAGTATTGAGGATGTTGATTTAGTACCAGAAGGTTGAAAACATCTATTTGTTTGCATTCTAGAACTGCATTTTCTTTCTTTTCCTTTTCAATCGCCAAACAATAATATATTAAATACATATTGAAAACGTTTACATATCTGTATTCAAGAAGTGCATATTATTTCTTTTCTTTTCCAAGTTGAACAATAATATACTAAATATTTGTCCCAAAAATATATTAAATACACACTTATTTAATATTAGGAAAACTTATTCCTTGACTTCAGTTGGGATTGAATTCCATATGAGATTTATGAGTTGGTGGTGGGTTTGATGCTAGAACTACTTAACATGAAACTTCACAAGTTAGAAGATAAATTTTGATTGGGTCTCACTGAAAATCTTTGTTAAATTTGAAAATGTTGACTAATGTGATGCTGTCAATTGTATGATCTCATGGTTTGTGTCAAATTGAGCCTCGCGGAACTGATTGCTAGTTCCATATTGTCTTTGAAACTGAAAGGATGAAGCAACTCATGTAGTTTTTCCATATCTGCATAATTGCAATAATATAAGAGAACCGGACCCAAGTAAAGTAACTGGCTGATTGGAGATTTCATAGAGTTCAGCTGTGGAAACAAATAGCTTAATTGAAGTGTGTACCCTTGTGAGAGCATGACTATGTTCATTTGCTGAATGTAAAGGAGAAAATATCTTTTGATTTATTATTTTGACATTCATATTAGTCTTATATTTGTATAATTTTTTATAAGTTATATTGTTTTTCTGAAGGGTGACGTGTATCCTGTGGAGCCTTATGAGGGGTTTTCAATGAATCAAATTCTTGATGCAAACTGGGGTGTTCTCTACAATGAAGATGTAAGTTCTCGATGTTCCTTTTTTCAATAATTATTATGATAGCATCCCAAAGAAACCGATTACCTTGATTTTTTTTTCCTCTAAATGTATAAGCCCTTAATGTGTTTTCCATATCCCCAATTCTTATTGGCAATATCTTTAGGAAACTCACCAAATTAGTTGCAAAAGTAAAGGATTAAGTTCTTAAATTTCCTGTTTTTAGTTTCAGTTTTTCAACATTTTTTTTAAAGAAACTGATCAAGTTGGATAAAAGATGTTTAAGAAACTGATCTAGTTTGATAAAAGATGTTCTTCTCTTTCTTTTCTTCTGAATAGTACATGTATATTTTATGTTTATGCAGTCATATGTTTTTTAAAGATTAAATTTTGTAACTACTACTTTTTTTTGCATATATTTGTGCACTCTGCCATGCATCTTCCATGCGGGTTTGAGTGGCACACATGAATATGTGTATTTACCTA